GGACTACACTTCCCATAAGGCCACAATCCAGGTGTCAGGCTTAGGATTTTTATTTTCCTTTGCAAGGTTTAGCTGGGGACAACCTGTTACAGACAGTCTGTCCTGATACCAGAAATCCAGGTGCTGCCACAGCCTCAGAGGTTATACGGAATTGTTGTCCTAGTGGCACCTACAGTGTGTAGTCCTTGATCTCATTTTAGTTGCAGAAAAGAGGAGCTAGAAACTCTAGTTGGGAACAATTGGGGAAATTAGCAAATGGCCTGGACATTAGAAATATCGAGGAAAGTTACCATGACTTTCGTTTATTGGGATCACGTAGGTAATTTTACACATTATTAAAGAACTGCATGTTTAAGTGCTTTGTGTTGTACTATACAATTGTGACTTTTAATAAAATAACAACTGGAAAAGGCAAGACATGAAGACTTCCTACCTCTAGCGCTGAGAATATAACTTGGTGGTAATGTGTATGTTTAGCAAGTCTGAGGTCCTGGGTTTAATATCAGACACTTCCAAAGAAGAGGGGGAAAAAATCCACCTTTAGAATATGGATATTCTCATTTTACTATTTTCTATCTTTTTTAATTGATTTTATTTTTTAAAGTACACGACAGCGGAATACATTATAATTCTTATAGCACATATAGAACACAGTTTTTCATATGTCTGTATATAAAGCTTATTCACACCAATTCATGTCTTCATATGTGTACTTTTGATAATGATGTCCATCACATTCCACCATTATTGCGGATCCCCTGCGCCCTCCCTTCCCCTCCCACCCCTCTGCCCTATCTAGAGTTTGTCTATTCCTCCCATGCTCCCCCTCCCTACCCTACTATGAGTCACCTTATATCAGGGAAAACATTCGGCATTTGTCTTTTTGGAATTGGCTCTCATTTTATTATTTTCTGTGTTTGAAAAAAAATTATTATAAAGTTTATAAAACGTGGACTATCATGTTACAAGTGTGCCTTTGAACTCCAGCTGCCAAGAGAAAACAAATATAAATAGCTTTTTTGAGTAAAGAAAGCTGTAAAATGTAACAAATCCTAGAAAATGGAGTCCATTGTTTTTAATACAGGAATAATACTTATGATCCTTAAGTAACCCCATTGATATTACATTATACCTGAAAGTGTACAAAAATCCTACAACAGAAAACAGTATACAAATTATGCACATCTTGGAGAAAAAACTTGCCTAAATCTTATATATGCACACTTCTGAAATTAGGAATCATGTTAGAAACCTCTGGATATATTTTATGACATCCTTTTTACTAATACACATGTGTGTGTACAGATTTCATCATTGATACTTCATGACAGGTGATTTTATTTGGCAAGGATAAACATGAATGAATTTTGATTAGCAAGAAAAAGGCAATTATTTTTACCAGTTAGTGTAATTTATGTGAATCAAGGTACAAAATTTTAGTGTTGACATTAATAAAACTTCAATAAATATCAGATGAAATAGTATAATTTAAAAAATTCCAATCAGCATTCTAAGACTTCTATGTGTAATTTTTCTTTGTTGACATTTTTTGTTTAACCTAATGAACTATTCCAACTTTCACTTGAATTAAAAACTTGCAATGACCATAAAAGTCCTGAAAACGACTCAATATTTAACTTGCCTGCCGCTGTTGCACTAAAACTCAGGACCAGGAAGAGAAAGAATGAATATAGCATGTATCAGAGCCAGCTCCATCCTCCTTACAACAGGTAGGCACTGGAAGAACGTAAGGACATGTCCATGGCACGACCATTATAATAAATTATTTTTACAAAAGTTAAAGCTATAACCAACTAAATGGAATTTTTTTTTTTTAAAGGAATTATTTATTTATTTATTTATTTATTTTTCAGTTCTCGGCGGACGCAACATCTTTGTTTGTATGTGGTGCTGAGGGTCGAACCCGGGCCGCACGCATGCCAGACGAGCGCGCTACCGCTTGAGCCACATCCCCAGCCCCAAAATGGAATTTCTAAGGTAAACATTTTATATTTCTAAACGTGCATATGTGTGTGTGTGTGTGTGTGTGTGTGTGTGTGTACTGGGTACTGAATCCAGGAGTGTTCTCTTTCTGAACTACATCACTGGCCCTTTTTAAAAATTTGAAACTTAGTATCACTGAGTTTCCCTGGCTGCTCTCAAGCTGGTGAGCCCCTTCTGTCTAAATTTTCAGAGTAGCTGAGGTTATAAGGCATGCACCACTGTGCCCAAGTTAAATGTTAGAATTTCTTAAGTTTTTAAAGTAAACAAATGCTTCTAAATAATAAAACTACTCACCTCCTTTCCAGGCAGTTGCCCCTGATGCCACTGACTTTGCCAATGCCCACAAAGCTCCAAAATGGGGGCTGCCAGCGTAAGTGCAGTACCGCCAAGGTCATAGCTATTTGCAGTGAGACATTCTAAGGCCATTAAACACCCTGTTTCTTCTTAAACTGTCACTCACTAATTTCCTAGTGTTTATTCATCCATCCAGGATAGCTGGTAGTTCGCAATTTTTGACAGTTATAAAAAGCTAGTGTAATGTAACGTTCACATACGTTTCTTGAAAATTTCAATTTACAGGGCTGGAGTTATAGCTCAGTGGTAAAGCGTTTGCCTCACACATGTGAGGCAATGGGTTCGATTCCAGCACCACATAAAAATAAATAAATAAATAAAATAGATATATAAAAAATAAAATTTCAATTCACTTAAAAATCATGCCTTTAAATTGCCTTATATGCCTATTCTTCTGCAGGTATACTGTTCAGATTACTCTTGATTTTATAGAAAGATGTGGAATATAGTATAATAAATCCTCCACTTTTGTTCCTTTTTCTTTAGAATTGTTTTCAATTTCTATTTCCTTTGCCTTTGAATGCATACTGATATCTGCAAGGACAGCTGCTGAAATTTGGGAGAATTGGCATCTTAATATTTAATATTTCAGTTCATGAAAACTGTGTAGTGTATCTGTGAGTGTATCTCATGTCCATCTTTGATTTCTTTCACCTGAGCTTTATAATTTTCAGCACACATTTCCCACACTTATTTTGATAGGTTTGTACATAAGTCATTTCTTCTTTTTTTTCTTTTTTTATCCCTCCTTTTTTATGATTATAGATTTTTTAAACGTGTCAAATTCCATTTGTTCATTTCGGGTACATAGGAATAGTACTGGCTTTTGTGTATTGGCCATATCCTGCTAATTCATACTCACTAAAGTTTTCTTTCTTTTCTAGGTTGGACATGTTCTTTTTTTTCTTTTTCTTTTTTTTTTTTTTTTTTGGTATCAGGGATTGAACTCGGGGGCACTCGACTACTGAGCTACACCCCAGTCCTATTTTGTATTATATTTAGAGACAGGGTCTCATTGACTTGCTTAGCACCTGCTTTTTCTGAGGCTGGCTTTGAACTCATGATCCTCCTGCCTCAGCCTCCTGAGCCACTGGGATTACAGGCATGTGCTACTGCATCTGGCTTAGGTTGGACATTTTCTACGAACAAAAATTTTTTTTTCTGAAAACAAAAGACCATTTTGTTTATTCCTGTATGACTGTAGAATGTTATGTCTTTCTTTTTACCTTAGTCCAGTGGCTAAGATTTGCAGAATGATGTTGAATAGAGTATGGATGGATCACTACTGTCTTAGCCTGAGTTGTGCTGCTGCAACAGAATAGCCGAGACTAAATTATAGAGAACAGAAATTTATTTCTGGAGTTCTGGAGCCTGGGAAGTTCCAGATGAAAGTACCAGCAGGTCTGATGTCTGGTGAGGGTAGTGCTGTGAATGCTGCATACTGTAGGAGGGGCAGCGGGACCCGAGTTCTTCACAGGGCAAAAGAGTCAGAAAGAGAAAGAAGCTGGAGAGGCCCAAACTCACTGTTTATGTGCACCAATCTCACTCATGGGTTTCAGAGGGGAGAAGCATTCAAACGTTAGCAATTGCCTTATCCTGCAATTCAGATATGCCATCAAGTGCTTCCTTAAGTAATAAGGTGGAAGTTCTCAATAAGGAACCCAATTTTATGTGTTCTATCTATGATATGAACAAATACCCTACCTATATCTATGGTAAGAACAAATACCCTACCTATGAAATTTCAAAGAAGGAAAAAATCATTCATGCTAGTTTTATTTTTACAAGTTCTGTGACAGCGCACCCTATTTCTGTGAGCTTGGTACTGTGGCCTCCCACCATCCTGGAACATGCATCAGTGCTGAGCCCTGGGCCTGAGCTGCCCAACAGCCCCGATAGCCATGTGAACTGAATCGCTATCATGCTATGTTCTGCAAGCCTCCACAGCACCTTTTCAAACCTATGTGCTTCCATGCCCTGTCCTTCTGAGTCACAGCAGGTACATTTCTCCTTGGACCTCACTTCCTAGGGTACACCCCAGAATCTCAGATCTTAGTCCTGAAAGCAATGGCAGAGAGGGAGGGGAATGAATGAAGGAGACTTTACTGGGCCCAGGAAATCACCTGCGCAGATTTCCCATGGAGAGTGCAAACTGCTGTGTTAAACAGGAGGCCGGCTTGAGTTCCGTGGGGTCATTTCCATGCAGGGTGTCATGTCAGTGGGAGGAGTCAAGTAGGCTGTATCCAGTGTACCACAGGAAGGTGGTCACCAGGTGCAGCTGTACAAGGCAGAGTACAGGGTCGACCACACTGAGGAACTGAGAGGGTGGACAGCTGGAAACTGTCAAGAGTGACCAAGTACTGCTTCCTGTAGGAAGAAGTCCAGGCTGGATTCAGAACAAGGTGCCAAGGAAATAAAAATGACTAAGAACACACTACAGGATATACATAGCCTGAAAGTGAGGACACGGCAAAAGATCTCCATGCAAACAGTAATCAAAGCACAGGGGCAGCTATACTTACATCAGAGGAAACAGACTTTAAGCAAAAGTCTGTCACAGGGGTTAAAGAAATCATTATAAAATGATAAGGGGACCAACTGAATAAGACCACATAACAATTGTAAATACACATGAACCCAACATTGGTGCACCTAAATACATAAAGTAAGTACTCATGAATATGGAGAAATGGCAATACAATAATAGTACGGGTCTTCAACACATTACTTTCTTTCTTTTTTAGAAAAAATATGTTTAGTTGTAGTTGGATATAATACCTTCATTTATTTATTTATTTTTATGTGGTGCTGAGGATTGAACCCAGCACCTCATGCTGTGAGCACTCTACCGCTGAGCCATAACCCCAGCCCTACTCTCAACAATGGGTAGATGGTTCTCTCCTTCAGTCAGACAGAAAAATAATATGGAAACATTGGGTTTGAACTACATTTTAAAGAGGACCTACGAGACGAACACAGAACATTCCAACCACTAGCAGCAAAATACATATTCCCCTCAAGGGCATGTGTAACATTAGAGCATGCTAGGACTTGAAACATGTCTCAACAAAATTTTTAAAAGATTTAAATCATATCAAGTATCATTTCTGACCAGAATGGTATAAAAATACTAATTAACGGGCTGGGGATGTGGCTCAAGCGGTAGCGCACTCGCCTGGCATGTGTGCGGCCCGGGTTCGATCCTCAGCACCACATACCAACAAAGATGTTGTGTCCGCCAAGAACTAAAAAATAAATATTAAAAATTCTCTCTCTCTCTCTCTCTCTCTCTCTCTCTCTCTCTCTCTGTCTCTCCCCCCTCTCTTAAAAAAAATCCTTTCCTTGCTTAGTCTTTATTAAAAAAAATACTAATTAACAATAGGAATTTTGGAAAGTTCAAGTATGTGGAAATTAACTACCTACTCCTTCCTGAACAAGTGATAGATCAATCAAAAGGGAAATTAAAAAACATATTGAGGCAAACTAAAATGGAATCAATATATCAAAACCTATGATATACAATAAAAGCAATACTAAGGAAGATGTAAATAAATACCTACATTTTAAAAAAGCAACATTTAAAATAAATAGCCTAATAGTACACTTCAAAGAACTAGAAAAAGAACAACCTAAATCCAAAGTTGGCAGAAGGAAGATTATAAAGATCAGAGTGAAATAAGTGAAACTGAGAAAAAATATAAAAGTAAAAAGCAACTAAGAGTTGGCTCTTTTGAAAGAATAAATAAAATTGACAAAACATTTAGGAAAAATAGAAAAATACAGAGAAGACTCAAATATAAAATCAGAAATGAAAGTGGGAGATATTCAAACGGATGCCTCAGAAATACAAAGAACTGAAGGGGCTATTATTAACAATTATGTGCTCATTAAATTGGAAAACCTAGAAGAGATGAATAAATTCCTAGAAAAATAGAACATGCCAAGATTTAATCAGGAAGATATGGAAGCATGAACTGGACATTAGTAAAGAGACTAAAGTAATAATCAACAACTTCCTAATAACTTGAGAGCATTATGTGAAGGGAAGCAAGCCAAACTCAAAAAGTCAAGAGGAAACAAAAATTTGGGGTGGTGAGGACGTCATGAGAACTGAAGGGAGATGAACAGAGTAGAGGAAAGGCCGCCCTGGGGTGGGAAGAGAAGGGAAAGGGGAAACACTGGGGAATGATACTGGTCAAATTATAGTGTCCTATGCGAGCTGGGCTGTGGCTCAGTGGTAGAGCACTTTTGTGAGGCACTGGGTTTGATCCTCAGCATCACATAATAAATAAATAAAGGTATTGTGTCCATCTACAACTAAACTAAATTGTTTTTAACTTATGGTGTTATATAGTGGGCATGAATGAATCTGTAACAATGAATCTCACCATTATGTATTAATTAAAATGCAGCAATAAAAAATGTGGGAAAAAGTCCGGGACCAGGTAGTTTGATGGCTGCACTGTACCAAAGACTCAAAGAATATGAATACTTTTCTCTCTCTCTCAGTGCTGGGGATGGAGCATTCTAGGCAAACACTCTACCACTGAACTAAACCTTCACCCTGTCTCCCTCCCCTTTCTATTCCAGTTCAAACTCATTTCCTTTTAATTAAGTCCAAGTTACCATTACATGATTTAACAGTGAAGAAAAACGTGTTCAAATAAGGTAGTAGGTTATCAACATTTGGAGGTGGTGGTTTGCAATCAAGTAGCAATACCAATAAAGCCATTTCCTCTAGAGATTCCCAGTTCATTTACAGTTAGTCTCAGTTCCTGGATAGGAGAGGGGTAGATTTCCCCATGAGGTGCTGTTTTATCCTTAACAAGCTCTAAGATACGAGCAGCACTAGGAAAAATCATTTAACTGACTAAATGTCCACAATGATTTGGGGTTCTGGAACCAGATCACAGCCAACAAGTGAGTTCATCCTTTTACACAATTCCCAGGCATTTGTGTCTGGTACCTCTGTTTGTTGAAGTGCATCATCCAGCAAGCATCAAACTACCTCCTCTGTCTCTTGTGGTCCATAGGAACATGGGTGAGTTGAAGGACAGCAGCTCTAGGGCCAGGGGGGTACGCTGTATGCACGAAGTCTTGGGGTTGGCCAGGGCTGCTGTGCCACCACCAGGCAGTGGATCCAGTCCTGCCTAGCACTGGAGCAACTGCGTGGGTGGAGGCTGAAGACTGGGTGTCAGTCTACCCTGGAACACCCAAGGTCCTAACATCAATACTTCTTTTTTTGCTGGGTGAGGTCGTACCAGGGATTGAACTCAGGGGCATTCAACCACTGAACCTCATCCCCACCCTATTGTGTATTTTATTTAGAGACAGGGTCTCACTGAGTTGCTTAGCACCTTGCCATTGCTGAGGCTGGCTTCGAACTCATGGTTCTCTTATCTCAGCCTCCTGAGCCACAGGGATTATAGGTGTGAGCCACTGCACCTGGCCCTAACATCAATACTTCTTAAAGTCCTCCAAAAATAAAGTAAGAGAGCATACTTGCAAACACATTTGATGAGGCCAGCAACACCTTGATATAAGGCAAAGGCAATGTAAGAAAACCATATGCCAATATCTCTGATGAGCATTGATGTAAAAATTCTTAATGAAATACTAGAAAATCAAATTCAACCATACATTGACAAGATTATTCATTAGGACCAACTAGAATTTACTCCTAATGTGCAAGTCTAATTTAATAAATGCAAATCAGTGCAACATATCTAACAGAACGAAAGATTAAAAGCCACATAATTATTTCAATTGACATGCTAGCACTTGGCAAAATTCAATATCCTTTCTTGATAAAATCTTTTAAAAATATTAGTTATAGAAGGAAATTTCCACAACATAATAATTTCCACAAGTGGCCATTCATGGAAAGCCCAGAGCTGACATAATCAATGGGAAAATCTGAAATCTTTTTGCTCTAAGATCTGGTACATGGCAGGAGATACCCACTCTCACCACTTCTATTCACCATAGCATTGGAAGTACTTGCAAGAGCAATCAGACAAGACAACGACATAAAAGTCCTCCAAATTTAAAAGGAAAAATTAAATTTTTCCTCTTTGCAGATGACATGATCCTGTATGTAGAAAATCCCCCAACTCCATAAAAATGTTGAAATTTAAAAATTCAGTAAAACGAAAGAATATGTAATCAACACAGGGAAAGTTCCTTTTTTCTGCTTCTTCTTTTTGTACTAGGGAACTTTACTACTGAGCTACATGCCCAATCTTTTTTTATTTTGAGACAATATCTTGCTAAGTTGCCAAGGCTGGCTTCAACCTTGATATCCTGTTTTAGTCTTCCATAAAAGCTGCTTTTCTGTACATCAAGAGCAAACTGTCTCAAAAAATATTTATTTATGATAACATCATTTATCCCATTTATAATAATATAAAAGAAAATCATAATAATCATCATAATCCCATTTATGATAACATCAAAGAAAATAAAATACTTAGGAGTAAGTTTAACATAGGAAGTGAAGGATCTGTGCACTGAAAATTATAAAACATTAATGAGAGAAAAACCAAATGGAAAGATATGCTATACTCATGGTTAGAGGAATTAATATTGTTAAAATGTCTAAACTGCTGAAAGCAAATATTCCCTGCCAAAATTCCAACAGCATTCTTCACAGAATAAGGAACAAAATTCTACAATTTGTAAAGAAACACAGGAGACCCTGAAACAGCCAAAGCAATTTTAAGAAAGAGAAAGAAGGTCAGAGGCATCACACATCCTGATTTCAAATTACATTGCAAAGCTATTATAATAAAACTAGTATGTGAACAGCTTAAAAACAGACTCATAGACTAACAGAGAAGAATGGCAAACCCAGAAATAAACTGAAACATACACAGTCAAATGATTTTTGACAAACACACCAAGAACAAACAATGGGGAAAAGGACAATCTCTTCAATAAATGGCAGGGGGAAGACTGAATATCCCCATGCAACAGAATAACTGGATGCTTATCTTACACCAGACACAAAAATCAACTCAAAATGGACAAAAGACCTAAATACAAGACCGGAAACAATGAAATTCATAGCCAAAGACACAGGGGAAATATTCTTGACACTGGTCTGCATATTGATTTTTTGAATATCATACAAAAATTTCAGACTATGAAATAAATAGTACTATATTAAACCCATAAGCTTCTGCACAGCAAAGAAAGTAATCAACAAAATGAAAAAGCAGTCTATAGATGAGGAAACTACTTGCAAACTGTGTATCTGGTAATGGATTAATATTCAAACTATATGAAGAACTCACACGTCTCAAAACAAAAGCAAAGGCAAACAAGAGCCTTTTATTAAACCTGACTTAAAAAATGAATTAAGGACTTGAATAGATGTTTCTTAAATGAAGACATAAAAATGGCCAACAGGTATATAAAAGGATGTTCAACATCACTATGCATCAGGAAAAAACAAATCAAAACCATAATATCACCATATGCCTATTCGGATGGTTATGATTTAAAAAGGTAAGTATTCATAAGGGTATGGAGACAAGGGTGCCCTTCTACACAGTTGGTGGGAATGGAAATTGATGTAGCCAGTATGGAACACAACAGTTTACATAAAAAATTAAAAACAGTACTGTCATATAAACCAGCAAACCCTTTGCTAGTTATGTCTCCAATGCAAACAAAACCAGCAGGTCACAGAGATAATCTGCATTCCCATGATCACTGCAACCCAGTAGCCACAAGACAGAAGCAACCTAGGCTAGATGAACAGGAAAATTGTGTGTACAGAACACTGTTCAGGCTTAATAAAAGAGAGCCTGCCATTTACCACAACACAGGTGAACCTGGAGCCACATTGCTGAGTGAAATAAGCCAGATAAAGAAAGAAAAATACTGCAAGATCTCACTTATGGTGTGAAATAAAAAGTCAACTACAGAGAAATAAAAAATAAAACAGTGGCTACCAGGAGTGGGGTGGAACTGGGGGAGAGGTAGTAAAAGGACATAAAGTGGAGATACATTGGATGAAAAAGTCTAGAGGTCTAGCATACAACAGGAGGGCACAGTCAATAAGACTGTATTTGTATTTGCAATTTATGCAGAGTAGATATTGGATGCTGTTTCTACATGCATGAAAAAGTATGTTAACTTGCTTGACTATAGTAGTAGTCACACTGTATGTAAGTACAGGTGGCCCTCTACTTACAATGGTTCAACTAAGGATTTTTTTTTTTGCTTCATGACAGTGCAAAATGATGCATATTCAGTAGAAATTATACATCAAATCTGAATTTTGAAATTCAAATTTTCCTATGTTAAACTTATTCCTTTTCCCTGGCTAGGGACACATAATATGATACTTTCTGCAATGCTAGACAGACAGGAGCAGCAAACTGCAGATCTTGGCCAGGCACATAATCATGAGGGAGAAGAGACTTTCAATAAGGAAATTCACTTTATAACAAACACAGAAATCAGTACAGACAACAACAATGGAAGAGGTTCCATGCAGGGCTGGGATGTAGCTCAGTGGCAAAGCGTCTGCCTTGCATTTGCAAAGCCCTGGGTTCGACCCCCAGTTCCAAAAAGGACAAAAAAAGGAAAAGGTTCCATGTAAACAGAAACCAAGAGAGAGAGAGCATAAGAAGTTATTCTGACAAAACAGAATTTAAATACAACAGGTTAGCAAAACATCCAACAAAGCAAGAAGAAAGAACAATTATAAACATTTATAGACCTAGTAACAGGCCATCAAAATACAAGAACCAAACATGGGAGAAATACAGTCCATGATCACAGTTGGAAACTTCAGTTCTAATTGTTGGATTGTACAGCCAGACAGAAGACAAGCAAAACTTGAACACAGTAAACCAGTTGCTCTAACTGACATGTATTAGCTACCCAACAACAGAATACACATTCCTTTCAAGTGCATGGGGCATTCTGCAGGAGAGACTATGTCAGTCCAGAAAGTAAGTCTTGAGTAGTTTCAAAGATAGATATTACACAGTGTCTTCTACAATCCTGGTGGGATGAAGTTAGAAATCTGGAATATTAATAAATTTCTGGACATTATGCTCTGAATCAAAGAATGAAAGATGAAATCACAAGGAAAATTACAAAGTACTTAGAGACAAATGCAAAGGAAAACATAAAATACCAAGGCACATGGGACAATGGCCAGAGCAGCACTAAGTGGCAACCTTATAGCTAAATAATATAATAAGTTTGGGAAAATATGCCAAGGAGTCAGGCTAAGCAAATTTTACTTTTGTCCTCATCCAGTGGCTGAGGCCACTCCTGACCTCAGAGACCACTCCTGACCTCAGAGAAGGCAGGTGCATGGGAAGCACTGCTCAGAGGCAAAAGCATCTCTGTGATTGCAGGCCACAGAATGCCCACTTATCAAGGTCACCTGCTGGGAGGCACCTAGATGGTGGTTTCCCTGACTCATAATTCCTCTCCATGAAATTAATAGATACCGGAAATCCCAGGAGCTTTTGATTGACAGCCCTTATTGGGCCCTGGTCCCAGAAGTTGCTCAAACCCTGTGTTTTCAGAGCCTGGCCACCAGGTTCTGCAGGAGGCCTGCACATCCTGCCTGACCAACCTGTCATCCATGCCAGGTGGCCCTTCTTCCCAGGACATGCAGGTGATATGGCTCTTTTGGGAGACAAGCACTTGGCCTGTTGACCCAGGGTAGGAATTTCATCTTTGGATTGAGTTTTTTCCAAAGATGTTACCTACTCATCTAATGCAAGTGGGAAGGTAGGAATGAAACCTTCATCTCCACCATTTTAAATGTAAGTTGGTATTAAAGCATTAACGAAGAATTAAGGGTTTGTAATTTATTATTATTTTTTTTTTTTGGTGCTGGGCATACAACCCAGAGGCGCTAACAAGTCAGGCAACCACTCTACCACTGAATTACACCCCCAACAAGCAATTTATTTATTTGCTATTTTACCATATATTATTTTTTATGCTTTAGAAATTGTTATATCCTAGCACAGCAATGTAAACTGATGGCAACTTAGTGGTGACTACTGCATACTTCTACACAACAGACTCCTTCCATAGTCTTCAATACTTGTTTTCCTATGTTGTGACTACTGGCTTCTGTCCTGTTCTGGCAATTTCAACATGAAAATAAATTACACTATCAAATAAAAGATGACTTTCCCTCACCACATGGTTCAATTTCACCCAACCTCCTGCTGAAGCATCTATAAGTACAGTCATGCCCATCCTCCTAGTGAGCTCCTCAAGATACGGAAGACCTCTCAGCACTGAGTTCAGTCATTTTTCCAAGTCCTTATGAAAATTCCCCACTGACCTACAGGATGAGTTTTCAAACTATGACCTGTGTCACCACCTCATGACCACTTTACACTTGGCAGGGACCCTTTACTATTTGAAATGATGGCATTTTTCTCAGGTCATGACATACCCATGGCAAAGAAAGTGAGACCTCATCCTTTGGACACAGTAAGAGCCAAAATAACTGTTGATCTGAGTCCTCGTTTCTCTTGGGGGCCACTTCTGATGTGATTCTACTGCCACAAAGAAGTCAGGATGCAGTTTCTGTGTTAAAAGACATTATGGGGGGCTGGGATCGTTGCTCAGTGGTGGAGCGCTCGCCTAGCACGGGCGGGGCCGGGTTCCATCCTCAGCACCACATAAAAATAAAGGCATTGTGTTGGGTCCATCTACACCTAAAAATAAGTATTCAAATAAATAAAATTTTTTTTAAAAAAAGACATTATGGGGCACTTCTGTGATTTTTAAAATCAACTGTACTGGGGCATGATTTATAGAATGTAAAATGTACACATTTTCAGTACATTTTGAGGAGCTATGAAAACTCATACAGCTTTGTAAACACTATCACAATCTAGATATATACCATCTCATTAGACAAAAACATTTTTTTAACTGGACTCAGTAAATTCTCACCAAGGCAAACCTTGCTCTAAATTAGTTATGTCTTTCCTAGATTTCACATAAAAAGAATGACATATGGTTCTACCCACTTGTGCCTGGCTCAGCATTATCTTATTGAGATGTATCCATGTTGTTATCTGCATCAGTAGACCCTTCTTTTGTTGGTGAGTGGAATTCCATTATAAGGTAATATTGCTGTGTGTGTGTATTTTTCTGTTGACAGACCCTGCATTTCTTTCCAATTTGGGGTTACTGTGAGTACAGACTACATGGACATTTTTGAACAATTCTCTGCTTTTTGAATAGAAACTGCTGGTTGTAGGTGTCATTACCTTCTTGAAGAGCTAACAAATGGATCATAGTATCACATTATAATTTTATTTTTTCCTTGTACTTGTGGGCCTCCTACGTAACTTTCAGGAAATGCTTATTTTGACCTTTTCCTTTAATTGCTAGTTCTATCTGACTTTTTGTTATTACATCAAACCTTTTTTCCAAAATTTCACATATTTATTACCAAACCAATCAAAACCACCTTCATGACTATATGATTACATGACTTCATGACTACAGCACCTTCATGACTAACCAAAAGATCACATTCCCAGTTATATATTCTCAACTGTCCCAATAAGGGGACCTTTTCACCTTGATGTGACAAGGAGATCATAACCTTGACACGGCATAAGTACATGTATCATTTCAAGTGTAATTCCTTCCACTCAGCTTGGTTCTCCTCCAACGTCTCCTCTTGGAATTGCACCTGATTTTATTGTCAGTATTCATTGGAACTCACTGGGGAATGCAAAGATTCTGCTGTGTCTCTTGGCTAGGAACCCCTTGATTCAAAAGTCTTGTGAGAAGACAGGGTGAGGAGCTGAATTAAGAGCACACATCACAGTCCATATTGTGAACATTCTTTAACACAGATGTGAGAACTTCGTCAGATACACCTACTAGAGTGTCTCTCAGTCTGTGGTTCCCTTATTCATTTTCGTGTTAAAATTTAAAAAGCTAAAGTTTAAAATTTTAATTCATCCCCAATTTTTTTACTCTTTATGTTTCAAGCTTTTTAAAATTCTACCTTAAAATTTCTGCACACCTCAAATGCAATTTCTTCAGTTTTCTACAAAAATGTTGTACTTTAGCTATAATGTTTGCATATATGATTTTAAGTACATTTCAAATTACAGTGTAAGAGATATAAATGAATATACAGTTATTTTAGCACCAGTTTTGGGGAAAAAAATCATCTTTCTTCATCAAACTACCCTGAAACATTTCTTAAAGATTAACTAATGATTTTCCATTATACCTCAGGGAAGTAGGGAGCAGGACAGAGTATTATTTCTATCTGTACAGAAAGAAAACAGCTGGAAAGATTACAACTTTTCTTGAACGTACAGATACGGTGTGAGGTCACATGGCAAAAAAGAAACTAACCCCAATTCTGGAGAGCTCTTTGGCTTCAGAGAAAAACAAGGACCCAAACTGTTGCTTACCTCGGAGGATGCCAACCACCACATAAAATGACTATAATGGAAAAGATGGACACCATGCAGGATCAGACAGGTAATTCCAGCAGAGAGATGGAAATGATAATAAAATTAAAATCCTAGAAATACAATTAAAATCCTGGAAATAAAATTAAAATCCTAGAAATAAAAAAGTGCAATAAAAGGGCCCACTGATATACTCAACATGGCCAAGGAAGCCATCAGTGATGCTGAAAGCACATGTATGTGTGTCCGTGTTTTACGTGTATCATGACTCTATAATAAGGTACTGAAAACATTTAGGAACAATGGCTCTTCCTATATGCACATCAGAAGGCAGCAGGGAATGTGGTCTGGCACTCTCAATTTTCAGATATTTTCTGAACAAGATTTATTATTAATATACATATGGCAAATTGAAGCTGATGTCAGAATAGTTATTAAGCAGGGAGTACATGATTCCATTCCAATTATGTTGGATTTAAATTCACAAATGCCTGGCAAGTGGCATGCATATCTCCATATATAAATAACACCTCAGAAAACACTCATGTACATGCAATGCTTTTGTTTAGTTTATGCAATTTATTTAATTAAAAATTTAATTCATTTGTATGCAGTGCTGAGAACTAAACCCACTGCCTCACACATTAGGCAGATGCTCTACCAGTGAGCTACAACCCCAGCCCTTTTTTTTGTTCTTCTTAAGCTTTTTTTGTACTAGTGAATGTGAATGAATCAATATTGTATATTTTACTAGATGTTTTCATATTTCATATGAACAAGTTTTGATATAAAATTTCTAAATAAAGGCTATTACCTACCTTTCTCAAAATTTGATTCCCCTTGTATCTCTGAGAGATAATAAAGTTTAATGTCTTATTGAAATGTTCATATATTCAAAACTCAATTATCACAAATTTTTTATACCACTTTCTTTGTAGATTTCCTGTGTGTGTTAAAATACTATTATTTCTACTTCCAATATTTTCCTGTTTGATAAAGAAGAGTTTTGGACAGAAGCTATGGCCATTCAGGATACTGTCAGGTTTCCTAAGGGACTTTTCTGATACACAGAAAACATAAGTTGTTCTTATGTCCACAGAAATCACAAGCTTACGTTTTATTAAGTAAGGGTGGGTGAGTTTAGGTCATTGCCAAGTATACCAAACCTTGCAGAACTTCAGCAGAGAACAAGTTTATTTTCTTGATATGAAACACCCAACTGAGTATGTGGAGGAGGAACCCCATTCACACGGTCCTTCCTTGATCCTGGTTTCTGCCTTCATCTTAGTGTGTGAACTCCAACTTTTCCCTAGAAGTAATATCTACCCCACTCTGGTGAGAAACCAGAGGAATGATAGAAAATCTGAGAGATGTATTTAATGGGACTCGTCTGTCCCTGAACCCTACATTCCATTAGCTAGAAGTTAACAATATGACTTCCTTTGGTGAGAGTGGTTGAGAAATTATGTCTGGATGGAGGACGGGACAGAAGAGGACATGGCTACTGGTCAACGTATTTAGTAATTAGATGAGGGAGACTACCTTTGTATAAGTCAAACTGGGGGTTGACTATGGCAGGATTGCCCATACCCGTGACCTGCATTCCTTGTCTGTCTTGATTTGTGGTTAGGTCTCTATCTTTTAAATATTCTGGGCTAAACTGAGAAAGATAACCTTTGGCTAAAGACAATCACAAATTTATTACTTTCTAGGTTTTCTTTCTGTGATTTCTCTGATGATGAATTAGTTTTGATTGCCTACATAAAAATTTCATGTTTTTATTAGTTTCTTGAAGCTTCTTGTACAACATGCGTTTTTTGAGGATTGAATTCACAGAATATTTCCTATAGTCATCATCTTTCTAGCGTTTCTCTGCTGGGTAGGTTCTGTGATATCAATGAGATCAGCACTCTGGGTGAGAGACTGCCCATGTTTCCCGTATTCTTTACATTCATACATTCAATCCTGCATGGGCTTTTTGATGTTCTCTAAGGCTTGATTTCTGGCTGAAAGTTTTCCCACATTTATCACATTTGTAAGGTTTCTCTCCTGTGTGAGTTCTCTGGTGTACTCTGAGGTTTGATTTCTGACTGAAAGCTTCCCCACACTGAGTACAGGTGTAGGGTTTCTCCCCCGTGTGAGTCCGCTGGTGCTTTCTCAGCACTGACTTCTCACTAAAAGCTTTTCCACATTCATTACAGTCATAGGGCTTCTCCCCGGTGTGAGTTCTCTGGTGTCCTCGGAGATTTGATTTCTGCCTGAAGGTTTTCCCACACTCATCACATTTATAGGGTTTCTCCCCAGTGTGAGTTCTGTGATGTACTCTGAGGTTTGACTTCTGACTGAACGCTTCCCCGCAGTGACTGCAGGTGTAGGGTTTCTCCCCTGTGTGAATTCTGTTGTGCCCTCTAAGCTGTGATTTCTGTCCAAAAGCTTTTCCGCACTGATTACATTTGTAGGGCTTCTCCCCTGTGTGTGTTCGGTGGTGCTTTCTTAGGCCTGACTTCAGTTTGAAAGCTTTCCCACACTCATCACATTGATAGGGTCTCTCCCCTGTATGAGTTCTCCGGTGATTCCTAAGGCCTGACATGTGGCTGAAAGACTTGCCACATTCACTGCATTCAAAGGGTTTCTCTCCCGTGTGCGTTCTCTGGTGGACTATGAGGATTGACTTATAGTTGAAAGACTTCCCACATTCATGACATTCGAAGGGTTTCTCCCCCGTGTGGGTTCTTTGATGGATTCTGAGGCCTGACTTTGCACTGAAAGACTTCTCACATCCGTCACATCTGTATGGCTTCTCTCCTGTGTGAGTTCTCTGATGTTTCCTTAGGCGTGCCTTCTCACTGAAAGCTTTCCCACAGTCAGGACATTCATAAGGTTTCTCCCCACTCTGACTTTTCTGAGGCCGCATCAGGCATAAATCCATAGAGCAGGATTTCCCACATGCATCACACTCACAGGGTTTCACCCTTATGTGGGTTCTTGGATGCTCATTAAAAATTGATTGGCAGCTTAATGTTTCTGCACACGTGTTAAGGTCAGCGGGTTTATCTGTTGTGTGAGTTCTCTGATGCACTTGCGGGGGTAAATTATGGCTGAAATTTTTTTTAGATTCAAAGTGCTTCACCTCAAAGTTAATTCTCTGCTCTCCTCTAATGTGGGATTTGTGGCCAAAGGGTTTTCCTCCTGTGTCAGTTCTTTGGGTGGTCCTACTGAAACTATTCCTGCTTTCATTAAGCTCACTGTGACTCTTGTCCTTTGGATGAATGCTCTGGGAGATGAAAAAGGTGGATCTGTCACCTTGGTTTTCTCCAAACGTATTGAATTTATACGATTTCACCTTTTGGTGGACCACAGGAGAAGTAATGAGGGCAGCCTTTTCAAGTAAAGTTTTACCTCGTTCTTTATATTGAAAATCCTGCCCGAAATTCTGAATTGTCTGAGGCTGAATAACTTCCTCCTTACAATGAAGAGCTCTCACATTCTTACTGCAGACAAAAGACTCCTCTCCAAGTATAGTTGTGTGACCCTTAATACTGAGGAGCCGCCCCTCACACAAGTTAAGCTCACAAGTCTTTCCTCCTGAATACTGACGGCAAGAGGCCAAAAGGCTGAGGCTCGGGTAAGTAGGCCCAGAAGCAATACACTGATAAGGCATCATTCTTGCAGGGAAAATATTTATTTCCAGGTTACATGGTTTCTCTGGAATCTCTTGCTCTGTAGTCAATGATCTGTTGGTGAACAAAACTTGCCACAAACGTTTGCCTTGATTTTCTGGGCTCTTTTCTGAGACTTTATCAGGTTGTGAGTCTTCTAAAAATGAGAAAAATAAAAATACTTTTTAAATAGTTAAAGTATTTTTGTACTTACCACAGCTGTTACGAATGGGACACATATACATAAGCTCTATTACGCATCTGATTCTGTGGTTTCTGGCTTAGCTTCCCAACAATTTGAGATATTTACTATTTATGTACCTTTTTTTCCCCTTCAAAAAAGCTTTTTTTTTGTAGTAAAAGGGAGGAAAACAAAAATGAACACACACATGCACTTGGCATCTTAAAATATAATTTTCAAAAGTGAGTAGAGAAAAGGATATAAAAGAAAGGAACAGCTGAGAATGTAGTTTATTTAAGACAGCTGAGATCCTGGGAGAGAAAAATGAGGAAATGTGAAGAATCTGACAAAGAGTATCAGCACTAAGTAGATGACAAGAGTAACAAGAAGAAAGTCAGTGCACAGCAGGGTTTACATCGGGGAGGAACACCAGATCTAGGTTCTCACTCAGTCAAATACAGATTACATTAGCCTATTCTGGCTATCGCTGTTTTTTCCATTCTGTGTCTCAACACCAACATAATTTATAATGGCATCAATTTTCTCATGTGGGAAGAAGTCGTCCCACAGGCCAAGCTTTAATTCCCTCCACAGCAGCGTCATGGGAACACAAATGGGAAACTGGAGTGTGGAACTCACAGGAGTCAGTCATTTCCTGACTAGACTGTATCATTACATCAGAGACGTTTAACAGTTACCCTTTCTAGTCATCAAGTGTTAATTTTCTTTCACTTACTCGCTTACTCATTTCCCCCAAACCAGTCTTGTCCCTCTCCAATCCTTAATTCTGCTATCTACTTTTAAAACATACTTATTTTGTATTGACTCAGAATCTTAAGGGATTGTTTTTTAACCTGGCCCTAGAAACTTTACATTTCCTTATCATGTATTTCTTGCAATATATTTGATACAATTGCCCTGTTGCTACACATATGCTATCCAAAAATGTCAGCCTGTGCTAAAAATGTTCAAAGCATTGAATTTATTTTCCTAGGTACCAATAGGTAAAAGATCTAAGAGGGATGTGATTCAGGCAAAGAAAGCTTTACACTAGCTGCATGCCCATTATGTATTCGAGCTACCACTCCACTAGTCCATGGTACTTTGCTCTCATTTTTGACAAGACAGCAGTCTTTTTTTTACGTATTTTTAAATTGTCAATAAACCTTTACTTTATTTATTTATATGCGGTGCTGAGAACCAAACCCAGTGCCTTGCATATTCTACATAAGCACTGTACCACAGAGTCACCACCCCAACCACAAGACATCAGTGTTTAAATGACACATGGTTCATTTCTATCAATTTCCCTTTTACTCACATTCTTTCTCCAAATCAACCCAAATTCCTGCCTTACACACATGTAATTTCATTTAGAAAGACATAGTATTGTCTAACTGAAGCAATATGAAATTTCTCTTTCAATAGGCTCTGGAGTTAGTCTACAATGTTAATTATATGGTACATGCTGGAGTATGGGAGAGTGAAACATCCTGCTTTACTCCCCTAGATAATCTAGGTGGTAAAAGAACTCACTTAATAACTGTGTTCTCTGGAACAGAGTTTCATTTTTGTTTTCGCACATCCACGAAGTGAGGTAAGGGTTTACAGAGAGATAACAGCATTTCAAGATTAGAGTAGAAATCTGAGCCAAAGTTTAACATGAGTAGTAATGCTTCATTCTCCTTTTCATGTATAGTAATTTTTATTATTTTTATTATGAGAACCACTTTTTGGCTTTACTATTTGTATCATTATAGTTTGTAGTTTATTTAGTTTTACTATCTTTTCAAATATTTATCTTTTAGTTATAGGTGGACACAATATCTTTATTTTATATTTATGTGTGCTGAGGATTGAACCCAGTGTCTCATGCATTCTAGGCAAGAGCTCTACCATTGAGCCACAACACCGCCCCTCATTATACTTTTATCTTTAAAAAGTATAATGACTTTTCTTTGAAAACATTCTTGCTTTTTAACATAAGTACATAAACAAAAATTTTTCTTTTAAGCAGTATTTTGCCTGTTGTCCAAGATGCATGTTTTTCATTTTTAAAAATCTTCTGGATATTGAAAAATTTTGATTTAATCTAATTAAATATGCTTTTAAAGATACATGCTCATTTTTTAAATTTCAAGACAGACTTTTAAAAAAAATTATATTGTATTCAAATTTTAGTTTCATGGAACAATAATATCTCTACTTTTTGGCACTTACTGACATTTCCCTAAAACACTTTTACATTTTGTCAGTGTTCCGAGGTGGTTTTAAGAGGTTTATTCTTTGTTTTCAGAGTAGAGATTTGAAAAACATGTCAATTTAATCTTAATGAAACATGCTGACTTATAAATTCTGGAGCAAGGGATCAGTGAACTTTTTCAGTGAGAGGGAGGAGAGCAAATGATCTGGCTGTGCTTGTCACGTGGCCTCTGTTGCAATGACTCTGCTCTGCCTTGTAGCATGAAGCTATGAACAGACATGGCTGTGTTCTAATCTTTCTTTCTTCACCAAAACAGGCAGCAGGCAGGGTTTGTCCTGAGGGGTGCAGTGTGCTGAGCAGTATTCTAGAGAGTCAACTGGTATCACTGGCTGTGCTACTGAAATCAGAGAGGAATATTAAGATCTACTGTATCGTACAACTGAGAAATGAAAAGTTGTGCTCAAAAAAAAAAAAAAAGATCTACTGTATTTAATATGGTCATGTTTCTTCTTACAATTCTTGCAGTTTTTTTAAAAAATAAAACTTGAGATCAATTTATTTGGTGGATAAATATTCAAAACTCATATATTCTTTTAAAATTGTCTCTAGCATTATTAAAATGTCCCTTTCCTCATCTGTTCTTTGATCTGAACAGTTAGTATGAGTGAGATAAACATGGTTAGGCTTATTGGTTTAACAACTCATAATTGTAGTCTGAACTATCTCTTTAAGCCAACAGGACATCATTTCCTTTTAAAATGAGAATGTAACCCATTTATATTAGTTGATGTAGCACAGGCATCTGTCTTACTCTGTATTATGCTGTGGTTCTGAGTAGCCTTTGTGCAAACAAAAGATTATACAGCAGGCCTGAGACAGGACTGCTTCAAGGTCAGCCCTGGGCTGGTGTCTGGGAACTGAGACTTCAAGAGTATTCCCAAGGGGGCTGGGGATGTAGCTCAAGTGGAAGCACGCTTGCCTGGCATGCATGCGGCCTGGGTTCGATCCTCAGCACCACACACCAACAAAGATGTTGTGTCAGCTGAAAAATAAAAAATAAATAAATTTTAAAAAAATAAGATGGACACACACACACACACAAAAAAGATATTCCCAAGGTTCCCAGCACTGCTCAGAGGGGCCATCTTACCCAGACTGCCTGTGCCTATGCTGAGCACCTGCTCTCCCTCCACATCTACACAGGGTCCCAGCACT